GCTTAAAATTCATGGAGACTTGGAAAGTTCTCAAAGAAACCTTGAAAAGCGGCCTTGAAGTATTCCTGTTGAAAATTGCTGGGATGCCTTACCACATCATTCACCACGACCATTCATATCATCCACCATAGATTAAATCACTTTTAAAACCACGGATTGTAATTATCGGCAATACTTCCTCCCTGTGGATCTCAAGCCCTCGTGAGTAACTGGAATGGGGGGCGGCAAGGGGATTCTGGTGCTAAGCTGAACACCTATCCAGAAACCTGTTCTCCTGAACTAAAAATACGGGCTAAAGGAAACAAGGCGTGTGTTCATCATTACACTGACTGCATCGGAGTGTGCTTTTGTGCACACGTGGATCTAGAGACATTGCTAAGAACTTAATTGGTCCACCCGATCCTTAAGCAGCTCAGTAATTCAAGACACCTAACAAGGATGGAGGCTCACTGGGTCATGGGCAAAGCAGGGAGGACAGAGGCAGGAAGCAGGAAGGAGTTCAACTCCAGCTCTCCCACACAAAAGACTGGGAGAGCTGAGTCAGCACCACGGGAGGAGTTACGACACAGCTTGGGAGCTTACAGAGAGACCTGAGATTGCCAAAGGACGGCACCAGGGTAACTCTCACCAGTCCTGTGCAGGGGTTTCATGGATACTTGGGATGCTGACTTCCACTGCCTGAGTCATTGGTAGGAAGTCCAGGTGACAAAGGCTCCTTCTGTCTGGGTAACGCTTCTGTGGTTCCATGGTTATGACTGGAAAAAAATTAAAAATTAAAATTAAAAAAAATTTCATACAACCCTGTAAAATTTGCTACTCTGCTGTTCTTGTCAGCACGACATCTAAGATGAGCATTACGCGTCCCTGCACCTGATTGAAAAGTCATCCAAGCCCATATTGCACACAGCTTCATCTCAGTGCCAAGAAGAAACACACACACAGACATTTACAAGATTCTTTGCACAGATAAAAGCGCGGGTTGCACGTGTATTCTCTTCAGTAATAAATAGTAACGTAGAATCCAAAGGTAACTTTGCAAGAACTAGATGAAAGAAAGGTCAATGAAAAGGACATATGGGATTAACTATTTTCATCTAAAAAATCCTTGCTAAACCTCTCCCCATCGAAAAGGAAGCATGCTGGGCACTGTTAGCAGCAGCTCAGAGAACATCTTACACTGCAAAAAGCAGCACATTCTTTTTGTCCACAGGCCCCTCATTTCTCTATCTGGTGTCAGATTCACTCAAAATACCAGAACGGCCATTCAGTCCTGCTGAGGTAGGAACCCACTGCTGGGATGTCCCCCAGTCCCATTCCCTGCTATTTCCAGCATCGGGGGGGAAAGTAAGAGGAACTGACTTCACCTACCCAGGCTTCTGCATGGCCTCCAATACGGTCTCACACCACAGGGAGAAGCACGGCGGAGAGCTCTGGTGGCTGCAGAAATCAAGGTTGCCCCTACGATGGTGCTTTATAACAACATGCCTTACTGCACATGAAACATGAAAGACAAGGTTAAGGTTAAATAGACTCCACTCCCCATGGATGTGGCTGTCTGCACAGACAACAGCTGCCTGCTGTCCAGCAGAGTGATGCTCACCCAGCAGAGCTCTCACCGGCAGATGCCTTTCATGGAAACACAAAGTTAGCAAGCATGGAAAATATCTCCAAGATCATCCAGTCCAACCGTCCACCTGCCACCAACATTTCCCACTAAGCCCCTTATGTCCCTCAGGACAACATCTAACATTTCTTGAACACCCGCAGGGACGGTAACTCTGTCACCAACCTGGGCAGCCCGTTCCAGTGTCGGACCACTCCTTTGGAGAAGTGTCTCCTAACATCCAAACTCAATCTCCCCTCATGCAACTTGAGGCCATTCCCTCCAGTCCTGTCGCTACTTACATTGGAGAAGAGGACGACCCCCACGTCGACATGACCTCTCTTCAGCTCATTGTAGAGAGGGATAAGGTCTGCCCTGAGCCTCCTCTTCCCCAGACTAAATAATCCCCGTTCCCTCAGCCGCCCCCCATAACTCTTGTGCTCTACACCCCTCACAGCTTCACTGCTTTTCTCTGGACACATTTCAGGGTTCCAGTGTCCTTCTTGTAGTCAGGGACCCAGAACTGAACACAGCACTCAAGGTGAGGACTCACCAGAGCTGAGTACAGGGGATGATCACATCCCTGCTCCTGCTGGCTCCAGCCCTTTGCACTGCACTTCCAATCTCAACCATCTCTTCTGCGGTAGCGCTTGCATCCTCACTTAGGGCTGGAGCTCAAGAGCTCAATGCAACAGGAAGAACACAGCGTGCAACTGGAAGATGGTTCTCAAAGCCGACAAGAGTCACCTCTCTGACCTTGGGCACAACTCACCAACCGAGAGTCAGGCCTTGCAAACTTGGCTCATCTGAGCACATCAGAGGGGGCTGCACATCAGACCACAAGCATCCATTGCAATTGCAGCTCCATGTAGAGAAGAACGTCAATTAACAGGTGTGAATGAATTCGCTCACAAGCTGCACAACGAGTCTGTTCTTCATTAAAAAACCCATATGGATTGCTAAGCCAAAAAGAGAACAGCAAGAGCTAATAGTGATGGAAGAGGTTCCTGGTCCTAAACCTCATCCTCTTACCCCAATTTTCCTTGCCTCGTACCCTACCCCAACTCCTGGACGATGCCCACAGCCTTAAACTCAGACCTCAGATCCATGAGCTGAACATGAACAAATCTACCCCGGAGCAACAGGATGGCAGACACACAGCAGAAGACAACCAACCTGCAGAAGCAGTTCCGTTGGGGTTGGTCCAGATGTTTGTATGCTGCCTTCCATGGCCCAGGCCAAGCTTGCTGAGCTGCTCCTCCTTTGTGCAGGGGGAGAGCGGTGCAGATGCTGTGTGCTGGCTATGCATAGCATGCCTTTGACTTGATTTTCCTCTCTCCATCTTCCATTAGCAAACAGCATTTCAAATCTTTCCTCATGAAAAAATCACCTATGTAAAAAAGAATTGGCAATCTTGCTTTTGAAGTTTCCTTATTTGTACAACTTGATGTTTTAAAGCAGAAGCTCACCTAGCAGTGACCTACCTTAGACAAGCTCAACCGGCAGGGAAAAGTCATTCCTCTGGGTGCAAAGTCTGCAGACACATTTCCAGGGGCAGCAGCCAGCCCAGTTCTCAGCACAGCTTCACCAACCACAGAAATCCAGTTGATGCCCGCCGTGCTTTTCTCCCTTCTGAAACACTGCATCGCTGCAAGAAGCAAGGATTAAAATCACAGAACCACAGAACTGGGGTTGCAGGGGACCCCCAGTGATCATTGAGTCTAAAGTCCCTGCAAAATGGACTCCCTACAGCGGGCTGCGCAGGTGGGCGTCCAGGAGGGTCTGGAATATCTCCAGAGAAGATGAAGCCACAGCCTCCCTGGGCAGCCTGTTCCAGCGCTCCATCATCCTCGCCGTGAAGAAGATCCTTTGCATTTTGGTGCAGAACTTCCTGTGCTCCAGTTTGTGGCCATTTCCCCTTCTCCTGTCCCCACAGATCGCTGACAAGAGGTTGGCCGTGTCCTTTGGACTCTCACACTTAACAAATACGTAAGCATTAATCAGATCTGCTCTCAGTCTTCTTTCCTCAAGGCTGAACAGACCCAGGTCCCCCAGCCTTTCCATACTGAGGAGATGCTCCAGGCCCTTTATCACCTTCCTGGCCTTCTGTTGGACTCTCTCCAGGAGATCCCTGTTATTTCTGTACCAGGAAGGGAGCCCAGAACTGGATGCAGTACTGCAGGTGAGGCCTGACCAGGGCAGAGCAGAGAGCAGGGATCACCTCCCTTGCTCTGCTGGCCGCGCTCCTTTTAAAGCACCCCAGGATGCCATTGGTCTTCTTGGCCAGCAGGACACACTGCCGGCTCACGGCCAATCTGTTTTCCACCAGCACCCCCAGGTCCTTCTCTGCAGAGCTCCTCTCCAGCCGGTCACATCCTAAGCTTACTGATATTTACAGTTATTCCTTCCCAGGTGCAAGACTCTACACTTGCTTTTGTTCCACCTCACCTGGTTTGTTTCTGCCCAGCTCCCCATCCTGTCCAGGTCTTGCTGAATGGCAGCACAGCCTCTTGGCGTGCCAACCACTTCTCTCCCAGCTTTGTCTCATCAGTGCACTTGCTAAGGGTGAACATATCCCCTCATCAAGGACATTGACAAAGATATTGAACAAGACCTTGAGAGAAACACTCAAAGTCACCAATTTCAGCTTAGGCAAGGATCTTAGTGATAGCAGCAAAGTTTATTCGTTATTTCAATAACAGGCACATGCTCCCTGTTAATAAGGGAAAAATTGCACATCAGTCAGTGAAATTCATCCTGTTCTGTACTCTGAACCCGACGCAGGCAATGCTCTCCTGGCACTCACTGGTTGAGCGTCTAGGCTCACAATCTCCCCGACGCTGTTGCTATGATGTAGTTCCATATAAGGTCCATTACCAACCTGCTCTTTTTGGTATGTTTTCTACTTCTCCATGGATACGAGGGCCATATTTCCAAGAGTGAGCACATTTGTTCTGTCCTGTGCCGAGCTCCCTCTCTCTCTCCAGCCTGCATATTTGCCTTATTTTGTGCCTGGCTCAATTCCACCCCAATCAGAACACCCCGAATCTTTAACTTTTTAACTCTGCTCAGCACCTTTCTTAGTGGAAGGCAAACGGCTCTTTCACAAGAGGGCTGTAAGTTCAGTAAAGCCAGTACTACATACAGAAAATACTAAAAGCTTCTACTGCAAAAACACAATCTACCTTTCACAACCCGACCCAGCACCAACCCCCGGGAGCACCGCCGCTCACAGCTCTCCAGCCGCACTCTGTGCCGCCCATCACCACCACTGAGCTCAGCCAGTAAACCAGTTCTCAGCCCACCTCATCATCCACTCATCTATCCCACACTTTCTCAGCTTCATTACCAGGATGTCACAGGAGACTGTAACAAAACATTGCTGAAGTCAAGGTAGACGACACCCACTGCAGTACCTGAAATGATCCATTCCATCCCACTCAGGCTGAAGCCTTTATTCCTTCCAGGTGCATATTAGGACCAGCCTCCAACACGGGATGAGTGCACTGGAAATTCCAGAGGTGGAGTTTGAGCCAACAGCCCACATTCCTTAAGGAATAACAGAGCAGCAGACAACCCGAGTACACAGTTCTGGAGAAACTTACCCTTGGTTTCAAGAGCGGGCATCTCACCATTCCCAAGTACGGCCACCCAAGCAGCACTTTGTGTGGTGATACTCCTAAGCCTTTTCTGTGAGTGGTTCGTATTCTGACAAGGGCTACATGTAAACACTTTGTCCATGGTAATTTGGTCTCTGAAACCAATTTTGACAAGTGCTTCTTCAGCATCTGATTGATTCATTCTACTTTCCCCGAAGAAGGAGGGTGCCACGGAGTATGGAGCTCCCACTTTATTTCTGAAGTTCTCATCAGCTCCTGTAGGACATGTGAAGTAAAGAGGCTTCCCTTATCTGAGTCTATATTCCACACAATCCCACATCTAGAGATTGTGTCAGAATGTAGAGTCCTCAGTGCAGAAGAGACATGGACCTGTTGGATCACATCAGAGGATGGCCACAAAAAAAAAAAAAAAAAAAAACAAGGGATCAAACAGCTCTCCTCCAAGGACAGGCTGAGAGCTGGGGCTGTTCAGCCCGGAGAAGTGAAGGCTCCAAGGTGGCCTGGTAACAGCTGTTCAATACCTAAAGGGGAGCAAAAGGAAAGAACAAGGGAAAATTTAGGTTAGATGTAAGGAAAATATCTTTTACAGTAAGGGTGGTGAGGCAGTGGAACAGGTTGCCCAGAGATGTGCTGGATGCCCTGTCCCTTCCAAGGTGAGGTTGGATCAGGCTCTGATCTAGCTGTGAACATCCCTGTTCCTTGTGGGGGAGTCGGACTAGATCATCACAAATGGTCCCTTCCAACTCCAAGGAGTCTATGGTGTGACAGCCAATGCCATGAGGAACGGCGACACAAAGGACGTCGATGGCCTGGTGAGCAATCAGGGCAGGCAAGGAAGCCTGAGTGCTCAACAGCTCCAGGGAAACTCTCCAAGCAGTCCAACCAGGAAGATCCATATCAGCACAGAGCCTGTCCATGACAGTCCCAGTATTCAGCAGACCAGAGGCCTTGTTTCATCACACTGCTGGGTCCCGTAGCTGCAGAGCGAGCTATTTAACGGGAGCCAGGGGGTGGAAGGAAGGGGGGCACTGGGTATCATACAGATTAGGAAACTAAGAGCATCCCCTGACAATTGGGATGGAGATCTGGGCTGACAAAGTGGTCCAGAAGAGGGAAACCTTTCCTCTAAATACATTTCCTATAAATACAAAGCAAGATCTGCAAGAAACAGAAAAAAACATAGGACCCCAGGGTGGTCAGCCACAGCATGCTCTGAGCTCCATGCCCTGGCATCTGTTACAAATTCATAAGGGGGATCCAGGAGAGAACCAGACAAAACAGGAACAGAACACTTGTGTTCAGTGTGCTCGAGTAGTGGAGCCTGCATTGCACTAAGTGAGGACAAAGAAAAGGGCCTCCGGGGCCCAGAGATTTTCTTAAGCTCAGGTCCCAGCCTGATGGATGCACCACAGTCTATCACCAGTCACATTGCTTATTGTGCTGGAAGAACAGAGCCCAGGGAGCCCCTTGTGACCCCCACTCCATCTTTAAGTGAGCTTCCAACAGCCATCACAAAACCCACCTGCATACAAGTGATGCATGAACAAGGGGCTCATGAGGGGCTCCATTGCCTGCTCCACAGATTTCACAGTGCTTAATCCACTAACCAGAGGAGCCTCAGAAACCCTTAAACCCCATCAAGCTGCAAAACAGAATGAAATCCAAAGAGACACAGAACTTAATTTAAATACGTGCCCACAAAAGAGGGAACAGAGACTTCATGAGAAGTATTGAGTTTAAAAAGAGCCGCAAAGATCTGGAGAACACAGAATCCCTTTATGGAAAAGAGCATCAGCTCCAGACATTTCCACAGCTGCAATGCACAGTCAGTCAACCAGCATTACCTTGGGGCTGATCGGTGCATTCCAGAAATGAGATAAGAGCAAAAGAAAGGAACGAACATCAGTCCCTGCATTACCAGTTCAGAGAAAGGGAGATAGCCCCTTCACTTCCCCCAGAAAACAATTGAAGAGCATCATAAAGACAGGCAAAGCAGATAGAGCTGCTCTAAACCAGCTTGGAATCCCCACAGAAAGGGAAAGACCAAAACCCTACAATGAAGAAAGAATTGCTTACCTCCTTCCAAGAACCAGAGCCCCCCAACAACCCATAGGAGGTGGGGGGAGGGGGTCACTGGGAAGAGACACTGCCTTTGGGGCTGCCAGCTTTCAGATGAGGTGAGGGAGGGCTGGAGCCAGGCTCAGCCCCATCTGCTCCCACAGCTGCATTGCTTCCACCTGTGCTTGCAGGGCTGCACCCCTCACCAGGTGCTCCATCACTGCTTCAGGCTGTGACCTCAAAGTTCCCATGAAGGCATGAAGAAAAAAAAAACCAACACCAGCAGCCAATTGGGTCTGCCTGTGTGGCAAGGGGAGCTTTACTGATGGGCGAGCTAGGATGGCCCACGTATTTTGATTCCAGTCTGTCCTCAATGGCCATTGGTGACATTTCTAATAGATAGGGGAGCACAGGCTTCAATACTGATACAGTGAGGTGCTGAGAAGCTGCACATGCAGCACAAGGGCTGAGATGAGCGGTGTCAATGGAGCGAGTGCTGGCTGCCCAGCTGCCGGGCTCAGCTTACGGCTCCCCAGGGTGAAATGCGCGTCATCTCCTCACACAGCAACTAAAGGCCACTGTGATGTTATTGGAGGGTTTGGTGTCCTCAGTGGGTGAACCTGGCACCTGCCTTTGTGGCAGCACGTGGCCTTTGGGCTCCAACAGCAACACAAACCCCACAGAAACAGGGAGGCTGCAGTGCATCCTTCCTGCAGCCCTGCGCTCCTCGAGCCAGAGATCGCTGATGTGCTGCAGTGCCCCATTGCTGCTGCGGCTCGACACGGGATTGCTGAAGTCGCTGCAGATGGAGAGAAAAGACAGATCATCTCCAGAAAGCACTGCCCGTACAACTTGCCCACGTGCGTGGGGCACGAGCCCCATTTTGGGGGCAATGACCCCCACTTGCAGGGCACTATCCCCCCCCCCCCCCCCAATGTCACAGCTGTGCACCGAGGGCACCATCACCCCACTGCGCATGGCCATTAACTCGTCCCAGGACTCCACGCATCCCACAGGCATCCCTGTCCCCGTCCTCAACCCCACAGTGACATCAGCAAGGAGCAAAGTGGGGCAGAGGACATGGGGGGACTTGAGGGGACATGAGAGGGCATGTGGGGACACAGGGATGTGTGAGGACATGGGGGAACATGGATTTGATGTGTGGGGTCAGAACTACAAAGGTGAGATGAGGTGACACGTAGAGGTGACACAGGGAGGTGGCAGGCCGTGCCAGGAGGTGCCGGTGCCATTTGAGCAGCACTGCGGGGCAGATGAGCAGCACCAGCCCAACCTGGGGGCGATGGTGATGTTCCAGGATGAGGAGCTGATATTGGTCTTCCAGCAGGTAGGAGTTTGTTATCCATACTGTACTTCTTTGGCTGTTTTAAAATCAGTGATTGTATGCGGTCTGATCCCATGTCTTTCAAAAGTGTGGTTTAAGCATCATCAGCTGAGAAGAGCAGCAGAACATGGGGCCATTGCTGGGAGAAGGCATGGGGAAGGAAGTGAGGAAAGCAAGGAGAAAACCTGAAAAAGGAATGGGTGAAGAAAGGGGGCAAGACATAGGGGAATGAAGGGGAATGGACAGAATAGCTGTAGAGCAGCCTAAAAAGCAGCAAGAAGCTCTGGGAGGACTGTAGTGTGCCAGATTCTGTATCGGGTGTGTATCTGTGTGCATATGTTGCCATTACCTGCTTGGGTCAGGGTTCTTGTCAGTTCTGAGCTCCTGCAGTGGGAAGAGCTCAAGCAACTGGTGCAGTCGCTGCAGACCTGTGGGATGGGGGAGTGTTTGATAAGGACAGCCCTGCAGCCCTCAGCTTGCTCCGTGTGCCCAGACTGGGAGCTGTACAGTGCCCAGCCGCACCGCTCCAGCTCAGAGCCCGCTGCCTGCAGCTGCATCTTTGCTTCCTTCCCTCCTGCCCAGAGCCTTGAGGGTGCTCCCACAGTCCCCTGCCCACCCCCAAAATGTCAGAGAAGACAGCTGGCAGCGAGCTGCAGGAATCCCAGCACCCTGTTTTCCTTCTGCCTGCAGCTCTCTCCTCCTCTGCCACACAGGGCTCCAGCCTGCGAAATGGGATTGGTCGGGGGGAAAGGGAGTGCTGGCAGGAGCAACTGCTGCAGCTGGCCGGGGAGGGTCTGCGTACCCCGTGCCCTTCTGGGCTATCTGTCCAGCTGCAGGAAGACCAGGGTAGGGCAGCTGAGAAGCTGCCCCCATCAGAGGGGGGAACAAGCTGTCCTTCCACAGAGACATTCCTCTCACAGCCAGATGCACCCACACAACTCTTGGGCCATCTTGCCAATGGCAGCTGTGACACATCAATTCTTTCTAGGCAGGTGAATTAATTTTTTCCATCTGTAAACTTAGGGGGAGAACTGCAGTTTTTGTTAATCTTTGTAGGAACGCTGTAATGGTCCACACAGAACTCAAAACTGCAGCTTTGTGCTAGATCTGGCTGCTTAGACTTGCTAGGACCTAAAACTTCCCATTTTATGGCATGAAAAGAACAAAAAGCCAAAAATGAAACCCGCAGTGAAAGAAATGTCCTTGGAAAAAAATACATGGAAGTATAAACAAGACAGAGGCTGAGCAAACATTAACACGGCCCGGTGCTTTCTGCCAATGGGCTCTAATTCCGTTATCATTAAATTTGCTGGTCAGTTGCATTTTGGTATTTGAACATTTAGAAACAATGCAACAGACGCTGGCAAAAAGAAAAAAGAATAAAAAAAAAAAAACAACTCCTTTTTTACA